CCGCAACCCAATCACTACGCATTTCTACAAGTGCAGTGTGTGTGTGTGTAACCCTTGGAGTCATAGGGATCCTTCCGGATTTGTTGAATATTGTGGCAGGGGGGCAATGAACACTTTGGAAGGCATTGCCCAACGAAGACCCTTCCATCGTGTTGTGATATTCCTGAGGGACGCCTCGGGAACGTACCTGCATTTTTCCCTTTCCATTATGAATGGCGAGAGGCTAAGCCAAGAACCCCGAAGAGTTGAAGCTTTGATGTTTTCTTGCACTGCAGATGTGAGCGAACGACGTCATTCTGTCGATCGATCGTCCGGTTGGTTCCTCTAGCATTGATGGCCTCGCTGAACTTGATGGACCTCCACTTCCTTTTAGGTTTCCTTACCTGTACCCTTAGGAATTGGAACCCTAGGCCGGCGTGTGGCACCGCAATCAAGTCAGTACGCATATCCATGAGTGTCCCTTGCTCTGGAAACGTACGTGCCCACAGCGGGCAGTAGCTGGCTTATGCCTCAAGAAGTGGGATGTTTGTCTCATCTTTGGAATTCCAAGTTGGCTCATGCCTTTACGTGACCGCAGCGGTCAAAGCAGCCAGCCATTTTGGCAAGGCACAAGGTGACCAGAGCGGTCGAAGCCAGTTTTAGGTTCATTGGAACCTGTTGCGAGCTTAGTCCCCCCTCCTCCCCTTCCCTTCCCTTTTCTTTCTTTGCTTTCTGGGGTTTTCCTGAATGGAATACTCAGGATCTCCCCTCTCTTTCTTTGGTGTGTCCCTGGACGATTGTTCGTAGCTGGGAACACCTTCCTTTCTCTCCTCTCCCTCTCTCTCCCTCTCTCTTTCTTTCTCTCTTTCCTCTCTTTACCCTCTTCCTTGGGTGTCCCTGGATGCTTTCGTCATAGCTGGGAACCCTTTTCCTCTCTTCCTTTGGTGTGTCCCTGGACGCCTGTGTCGTAGCTGGGAACACCTTCTTCCCCTTTCCTTTCTTCTCTTTCTTTCTCTCTTCTCTCCCTACCCCTCCCTCCCGTCAGGACCTTCGTGTGGGTTGCTACTAGGGGCTCCTGGCCTTACTACTTGGACGCTACTTTGGTGCTTCTAGGGGTTCCTGGCCTTACTACTAGGCGCAAAGAGATGCCTCCCCTCGGGGAGGCGTGTGTGTGTGTAACCCTTGGAGTCATAGGGATCCTTCCGGATTTGTTTAATATTATGGCAGGGGGGCAATGAACACTTTGGAAGGCATTGCCCAACGAAGACCCTTCCATCGTGTTGTGATATTCCTGAGGGACGCCTCGGGAACGTACCTGCATTTTTCCCTTTCCATTATGAATGGCGAGAGGCTAAGCCAAGAACCTCGAAGAGTTGAAGCTTTGATGTTTTCTTGCACTGCAGATGTGAGCGAACGACGTCATTCTGTCGATCGATCGTCCGGTTGGTTCCTCTAGCATTGATGGCCTCGCTGAACTTGATGGACCTCCACTTCCTTTTAGGTTTCCTTACCTGTACCCTTAGGAATTGGAACCCTAGGCCGGCGTGTGGCACCGCAATCAAGTCAGTACGCATATCCATGAGTGTGTGTGTGTGTGTGTCGTTTCCAAAAAGACCCAAAAAGCATAAGTCCTCCAAAGCGGCAGAACGAACATGGTGAATATTTTCGACATATCGTGCTAGTCTTAGTCGTTGTTTCACAGGGGTCTGCCTTGGAGTGTTGCCATATTCAACTCGAGGATGAAGAAAAAAGAACGAGTCCCTCAAGAGCTGCTCAGTTCCGGCCCCGGAAGCGGCCGGAACAATCTGAGACACGAGCCCGTCAGCCCGGCCGGTTCGTGGTCAATCCAAGTTCAAGGTGCCAGTCAAAGCATCAAAAGCTGAGAGTGACCAACAGGTTTTCGTCTTTTCAAACTGCACTAGGGTGAAAAAGACCACGCCCAAAACATCCTCATATTCTTCCCTCCCCTCTTCGTTTTTCTTCTTTCAACTCCCCCAAAAGGTCTGCCGCTTCCTCCCGCGGCGCCGCCCGCGCCACCTGTGCAAACCAGCATCGACCTCCAGGGGTCTCCAGCAAAGTTGGCACCGCGCACGTCGGCCTTGGGATTGTCACCGATCATGTAGATCCTTGGGAAGACGCGGACAGCAGGGGACGGGGAACGGCGGCATCGGCCGGGAGACCGGGCCTTGGGTTGGGAACATGTGAGGGGTTGGTTGGGCTCGCCTGTCGCGTTGTTGCTTCGCGCCAGCCAGGCAGCCAACTTGGCAGCCACAGGCACATGAGGCACATGAGGCAAAGCAAGAAGCTGCAGTGACTGGATGAAAACGAGTGGATCTGTCAGACATCCCATCGCAAAACAAGTGGTACCCGAACCGAAGGAACGAACGGGACGGGTCCCAAGACCGAACCAACGGGACCCTGGTAGCCCACCCCTTAGTGGAGTCCTACTCTTCTATATTCGTTCCAAAGCAAGCCATCCATGCTTCTAAAGCAAAAGCACTACCAACCACCCACCAACTCTGGCACCAGCCACCCGGATGGTCAGGTGACTGCTCGAATTCGTTGCTCTTGGCCACTTGGGACAACAGTTGGCGCGCAGCTTGGAACTGCACCGCATAGGGCTTGCCATACTCCTGGCACATGTGGCGCCGCCAACTTGCCAGGCTCATATGTCATACGGCCCTCCCCTCCAACTCGACGAACTGGCGACCCGACCCGTTGCGCTGATGATTTTCTCACTGCTGGGGGAATTGGTTGGGGTCACATGTGTGGCATATGCGTGGCATCTGGAGGAGTTTTTTCAAGACCTTTGAAGCGAGTCTGAATCGCTCAAGAAAGAGAGTGGGCGCTGTGTGAGAAAAGTTCCAACGCTTGATCTTCATGGAAGTGTCATGAAGTGTCCATGTTCACACAGACCAGTGTGATCACTACTATTGGTGGAGAAGCTCTTCCACAAAGCACCTGGAAACCCCTGAAAAAAAACAAGATGGAGCCCACAAACCCGAATGCAAACACGATCGAAAAGCTACATATGTCCAAATGACACTCTTGTAGGACACTCTTGTGAGACACTCTTCTGGGACACTCTTCTGGGACACTCTTGTGGGACACTCTTGTATGAAACTCTTGTGGGTCACTCTTGTAGGACACTCTTGTGGAACACTCTTACAGGACACTCTTGTGGGACACTCTTGTAGGACACTCTTGTAAGACACTCTTGTAGGACACTCTTGTAGGACACTCTTGTGGGTCACTCTTGTAGGAAGCTCTTGCGGGGCACTCTTTTGCGGCACACTTGATACCACGAATCATCCCGCTCACCAGCGACACGCCGCGTTTACGCCAGCGTATTTCGCGCTCCCCAGTGGCACGGCGCCACGCAAATGCACTTTCCACCAAGGCCGCGCAAATCCCAATAGGACGACATCGCGAACGTCGCGTCGCCACACAGTCTGCCCAGACACTAGAAGCAAACATGTCACGCGATACCGCAAATCATCCCGCTCACCAGCGACACGCCGCGGTGAAGCCAGCCTGTTTCGCGCTCCCCAGTGGCACGGCGCCACGCAAACACACTTCCCACCCAGGCCGCGCAAGTCCCAATGGCACTGCAACATCACGAACGTCGTGTCGCCACACGGTCTGCCCACACACTTGAAGCAAACATATCACATGATACCACAAATCATCCCGCTCACCAGCGACACGCCGCGTTTACGCCAGAGTTTTTCGCGCTCCTGAGTGGCACGGCGCCACGCAAACGCACTCTCCACCAAGGCCGCGCCAATCCCAATGGCACTGCGACATCACGAACGTCGTGTCCCCACACGGTCTGCCCACACACTAGAAGCAGTCACACGAGCGTTTCGTACGAGACTTCCTCCAAAAGTCACGCTTCGAGGCTGCAAGACGAGCGTTTCGTACGAGACTTCCTCCAAAAGCCACGTGTCAAGTCTCCAAAACGAGCGGTTCGTCCGAGACTTCCTCCAAACGTCACACGTCAAGTCTCCAAAACGAGCGTTTCGTACGAGACTTCCTCAAAAAGTCACACGTCAAGTCTCCAAAACGAGCGGTTCCCACAAGACTTTCTCAAAAACTCACATGTCAAAGTCTGCAAAACGAGCGTTTCGTACAAGACTTCCTCAAAAAGTCACACGTCAAGTCTCCAAACCGAGCGTTTCGTACGAGACGTCCTCAAAAAATCACATGTCAAAGTCTGCAAAACGTGCGTTTCGTACGAGACTTCATCCAAAAGTCAAGCGGAAGCACCCATCGGAGCACACACATCACGCAACCCTGCCAAGCAGTTTCGCGAGTCCAGCCCCTCCAAACAACACCCGCTCACACGCCCATCCGAATGTGACAGCGACATTCACCTCTACCACAACTCACAACCTTACGATTCCCTGCGCCTGCCACGAATCTTTCCGTGTCCACACGTCTAACGCGCACAAAGTGCTGTGCCTGCCACGAAATGTCACCTCCGTCACACCTCGCAACCTCACGATTCCCTGCGCCTGCCGCGAAAATCGCACTTCCACACCTCAAAGCCCGCACAAAGTACTGCGCCTGCCACGAAAAGTGACAATATCATCTCATGTGAGCTTCAACAAAATTTGCACCACACCGCACGTTTGGAATGATTTCGACCCGTTCTGAGCACACTCCCATCCACCAAAATCGCCATTTCAGCTGAGACTTGTCACGAAAACAGAGCTTCGATGCCACGCCCTGAAACGCAAACCCCAATGGCACGGCCACATCCAACACCCCAAAAAAACCACTCTCCAAACGCTAGTCCCAATGGAACTGCGCAGAAAACTGCGGATCTCACAAAACGCTGTGCCTGCGCAGTGAACTCAACCTCCATTATTCAACATCTTACATTTCCACACGTTTCCACGCTATTTGACACGAATCTGGCACGTCACGTTTTCATCCGAAACCCTCTCCAAAAGCTTCCCCCAATGGCAGCGGCCTTAGCGCCCTACTGCGGAGGGCGGCGGACGGTTGCGAACGCTGAGACGACGTGTCGCGAACAAGACCCTACCCCCAGACCCCCAGAGTTAAACGAGAACCCTTCGCTATGCATTCGGGAAAAAGAAAGACACTCTTTTCCTTCCATGAGGAACACCGTGGCCCAGACCCTGGGAATGGAAAGGTTCAAGGAAAAGAAGCACCTGCACCATCCGTTCGTCTGCCATGGAGATCCAGAAGTATCTCGGGTTTTTCGTTGCGAAGGTGATCCAAGGAAATCTGGTGATGCCTGGTGATGAAATCCAGACTTCTCCGCCTTCATCGTACTCCCTGAGTCGATGTGAAAAAGCCAACTCGCCGGAGGTCCATCGAACTCCCCGGAGGTCCCTCTCCTGCTGGTAGAACCATCATCCAAGCCAAACAACCTCATGTAACCTCATGTAGGTAGAGCTCCAATCCAGTTACAGTGAATTGGAACAGGAACCTTGCAGAGACCAAAAATCCGTGCTTCAGCCCGATCGAAATCTTGACTGAAATGATTATTTGGCCCTCCGCTATGACCCTCAGAGAAGGCAACAAAACCTAGAATTGATGGCTTCAAGCTGCTTCACGCCATCTGCCCACTGGCTTCAGGGGCAAAATGAGCATAAGGCCCTCCAACGCTGGCCCTCCGTTGGTTTTTTTAAGTCCACACAAGGAAAACTGGGCCATACTCTTGGATGGTCTTTCTACACGAGGATGGTCATATGTCCCACTCCGCGAGACTGCTTCATCTCCAGCCCAACTGCCTTTTGCTGTGGTGAGATAGCTTAATACTACTTGAACACTAGCAGCTGTGCTACTCCGTGTGGCTCCGAACGGCTCCCTGTTGAAGAGGAATATGGATACGATCCGAATCGCTCCCTTCATAAAGAAAAACCAGCTAGAAAATCACAGTTCATCGTGCCATCGCTTCACAGTCTCGTTTCGGTTTAGACACGGTCCTCGAACCTCACCAGGAACCTTTATCACCACCCCGCCGTGGCGTTTTGAGAGCCCACTTTTCGGCCGACCGCTGGTCCTGGATCTGCAGAGGACTCCCAGAGCGCTTCAGCCACAACTCCTCGGAGAAGCGACGTCTCGCATGTTCCAAGCGAGAGAGAGAGAGGGACACAGACAAACAGAAAGAAAGACAGTGAAGGAAACACTCTCATGTTTCAAGTTCAATAGAAGGCTACAAAGAAGAACGTCAAAACTGTTCAGCTGGTGCTTTGGGACACAGCTACTCAGCTACTCCCAGCTATATCTGGAAGAGCTCCAAACAGCTTTGGGAGAAAGGGCTCTGGCAGAAGAAGCGAGTTCACCACAGTGTCGCCGCCGAAGTTTGGGCTCCTGTAGGGCGCACACGAAGGCGCCGTTCCCGAAGCGGGGCACCGGGTAGCCGGCCTGCACGGACGTTCTTCGGAGGCTCGGTTTGAAGGAGGCGCGAGGAGCTCCAGAACACCACTGGGAAGCGGAACTGATCTAATTGGACATTTGGAGTGTGAGCTGCGAGGACCACCCCATCCAGGATACTTTTAAACGTCCATCTCCCCAAAGTCTTCCAATAACAGCCGAACGAAAGGACTTTTGCCACGGCCAATCTCAAGAAAACAACGCTCCAGCACTTTGTCTGCCTAGCCCATGAAGTTCCTGACCCATCCTGACCCTACTCCTATGAGCCAAGGGTGACATGATGAAGTACGAGTACCGACCTCAGCGTTGCCATTGTCGCATGTTAGCAACTGGAAGGAGCAAGAAACATCTCGCGCGATCCACGCGTGATCCGTGATGCACAGTGATTGCACTCACCACAAGGGTTTGAAGATGAATCTGCGAATTCTGTCCTGGATACATCTTGGTCACAGAATCAGTGCCCTTTAGACTTCCAACCGACAAAGAAGAGCTGTGGCCACTTTGCCACCAAGCCGCTCTCGGTCCTGTTCCACCAACACCTGGCTCCGCCATGCTCCATCCCCACTCTCTCCATTCTTCCCCTGTGGGTCTTTAGTCCATGGCAACAGCTACACTGCTACACTCCTGCCGTCACGGGTCTTCCTGCCGCAGGTCTTCTACGCAGCACCGGAAAATGACTTCCTCCCCGAGCCACATCCGGCTTCAAGTCCGCCCTGTGGAAGCCACGAAGCCCTTCCGCTTTCCAACGCTTGTCCGCTTCCTTCCTTCCGCGTCCTCGGCCCCGCTTCGGCCGGCACCCCATGCCCCGCCTGCCACAGGAAATCCGAGTTCGAGGAATACACCTCCGCCCGCTGGAGCGCAGCCGCGCCCGCGCCTTCTGCGCCCAACGGATGGCCCCCAGCGAGGACGTCGGTGATCACCTGGCCGGTCGCGATCCGTGTCACGGCGGGGGGGGATGGCACTGGAGGTACTGGAGGTGGGACTTGGAGGAGTTGAGTTGCTTTCCCCAAGTGAGTCAGACAAAGGGGCATCCCTACCCTCCAAGTCATTACCACCCCATGTTCCACGGTGGGTTTCTTCCCTGTTGCGCCTGAAGCTCCAGCGCCCAATCCGCAGGCTCATAGAAGATGAGCACCGCCTTCTCACGAGACCCACCGACCGCGAGCGGTCGGCTCCAGACCGAGCGGTCGGTTCGTTCGGTTCCGCACGTCGACCGGGACCTCGACCAGCCAGCGATGGGAGCGAAGGAAGAAGGAATTCAGAAAGATTCTGAAAAGTTTCTGTGAAGCAAAGGCAGCTTTGTCCTAGGCAGCTTTTGCTCGGAGACCGACCGACCCAGGACCCATCTCCCCCCGCCTCGATTGGAGGCTCGCCGGGAGCATTGACCTCGACTGGTGGATCGATGGATGGAGAGAAATGGGCAAAGTTCACTTGGATGAAATAAGTGATGAAGTGGATGAGTGAACATCAGTGGCACACAGGATTCGAATCACAGATGTCTGACAAGTGGCACCGAACTCGTGTCTGCAGTGATCCTTTTTTTGGGGGGGGGCAATGGCAAGCTGTAGCCAAACAGAGATGGATTTGGGCTTTGTCAAATGCTGGGGGCTTCCAGGTGGAAAATTAGTAGTACCATGAACCTCTACCAAAAGGGTAGGGGATCAGGGTGCCATGACCCACAGCCATATTCACGCAACTTAAAACCTTTCTGCTTCGCAACATTTGATTTATCGTCATGGACGGTTCCCACCTTCCCACCACCTGCATGGGGGGGAGGTTTCTCTCCCATTCCCCTGAGCCTCAGAAGGCACTCCTCAAGAATTGGCTGCAGCCAACGGACATTGATCGCAGGCAAATCACAGGTGGCCCTGGGCCAGGGAAAGATGTCCTCAGTTCCCTTCACGATCTGAGTACTGCGCACCTCGGAAGATCACCGTCATGACACCAGTAAAGGCCAGGTCTGTCGGTCTGTCGGTCTGTCGGTCTGTCGGTCTGGTCAGTTTCCTCTTCGTTCTGTTGAAAAAGATTGGGATGAGGACACAACAAACTGCCACAGCTGCGTTTTCAGCGCAAGCACCAAACGCCAAATACATCCAACCACCACCCAGCCACTGCCATGGTCCCCACCGCAAAGCCGTAGCTGCGCGCCACCTGGGCCGTCTCGGCCGAACCCACCAGCAGCACCCGCCTCTGGCGGAAGCGCTCCTGGGGCGTGGCGAGCCGTGGCGCCCTCGCGCAGCTGAGCTGTGGCGCCGGAACAAAGAAAGGCCCCGCGGTGTTCCAACCCGTCCTGAGTGACCTTGAAGTTCTTTTCAAAAAAAGATATATAGGTCCTGTCTTCTTTGGGGGATTCAGAGATGCTTGTGAAGCACAGTGGCAAATCGTTCCACATGGGCATCATTCTTTCCAAACACTGTGAACCGTCTGTTCCAAATGGATCTTCCGGTGTTTCTTCTCGGGTGCTGATTCCCAACACTGTTCTACGGTCCTGTTGATGTCCAATGTCCTCTGCAGGGAGCTTGTAAACTCGTCCAAAAAACACGGAGCAAACTTTTCCGCATCATCAATGGTGTCCAAAACAAACAAGCAAACAAGCACTTGTGCTCAATTGCTCAACTTCAGGGCACTGACAACAGGCCCTGAAACATGATGAAGCCCAAAAGTCACACCACCTCTACAAGCACCCACTTCCCCATGTGCCATGGTAGCTTCTCGAACTCTGGATGATCCTCACCCACAGCTTGTTTTCACCAAAAGAGATCAATCGTCAACAAAGCAGGCCGCTGGCACTTGCTGCGAGAGGCTGCCAGTGGTCGGAAGGGCGTGTGCGAGAGCAGCATCTGCTCGCTGCAAATGCCTTGACCGGTTGAGCGGGACGGCCCACGGTGGCCGTGGGAAGAGAGAGTCTTTCTGTGGAAAATGAACACGGTCCATTTCCAACCGGAAGGGGCACAGTCCAACGGAAGCACAGTCCTCGAGTTCGCAAAACCCAGTGTCCTTTTCCCATGTCCTGGGTCGATTTGGGACCCGGGATCCTCCTTGCACCGCCCCAAGGAGTGATTTTACCGGCCAAGTAAGTCTGAAGTCTGAAGAAGGAAGTCCAGACAAGTCTGTGACTGAGCGATGGAGGGTAGTAGGGTGAGTTGCGTTCGATCCCGTTGATCAACGGGCTTCACAAAGAGTGTCCATGCAGCTGTGATTTATATATGCTTATGTTCACCACTCATAGGCTAAGTCTAAGCATCATTGACGAGAACAAGAACAGAATAAAAGCAAAACCGAAAAGCAAACAGAAATTTGCCTGGGGAAGACGTGCAAACAAGAAGCAACAACAAAGTAAAAGAAAAATGCAAACCCAACTTTTGTGTTGCTTGTCTTGCATCCACTCCATGCACCTGTTCTGCCCTTGTTTTGCTCTTTTTTCCTTTGGCACACTCCCTTATATAACTTAGAGACTATAGCTATAAACTGGTGAACATAAGTTCACCGCAGCTCGAATGCCTCAAAATCCTCCTTATGACCACCTCAAGGAACGACGTGGTGGGCCAGTCAGGGATCTCGGTAGTATGCATCTTCGATGTGAAAGAGATGATGACAACAACAAGTGATCGAACAGTTCAGCATGAGGTCGAACAGTTCAGTACCGCATGCAGTTCAGTACCGCATGAAGCAGCCGAGCCGTTTCTCCGAGACTCTCCCCAAGTGTGGATGTTGAGGCTTCAAAGGACCAAAGCATATGAAACAGCCGTTTGATACAGCAGTCCTTCGCGTGCCCCAGAACATCATCTCAACTAAAAGTAGACTAAAAGTATCTGTGACTTCTCTCTGAAAGACAAGCTCTTCACACCTAAAACAATCAACCTTTCAACACTTCCACCTGCATCAACATCAACATCGAAATCCACCTGCACTTCCACCCTCACCCACTGGAATGACCCTCACCTCTTTCCCAAAACGCCCAATTTCCATCCAATCCCTCTCTTTCGAGGACCAAAAACACCTCCATCCTAACTCCTCCAACCCACTACTCCAACCCACTCCCTCTCGTGTTTCTTTTCGCCTAACCTCACGTCCCACTCGGTCCCACCTTCGAACTCCAAGAGCTCTCCCAGCTCGGCGGCCTTCTGCGCCTCGGTGTTGCCACCTGCAACGCGGTCACATCTGAGCGATGGCCTCCATCCTAGTAGTGATGGCCTCCATCCTACTTGGGAGTGCCACTTGTGTTTTGAATTTGGGTGCTGAGTTCAAACTTTTCTGATGCCAATAGCAATGCTCTTGAAAGTTGCTGGCACTACACACACGCAAGTGTCCCACGCGTATGCCTCCGTTGGTCATGAAGATGAAGGGCACCCGCTCCTCTCGAAGTCTTATCAAAGCCTCACAACGAAGAAAAGGATTCATTTTTGAAATGTTCATCACATGTTCATCAAATGTCTTCTTTTTTGTCGGGTCTTTGCTCGATCCCCTCAATTCGCTGGGAAGGATGGCTGACTTTGATGATGTTTCCCTGGTGGAGGTCTAGGATCCTTCAAATCAGTGAACCAGATTTGAATCGGATTTCTTTTCAGAGTCTTTGAAGCGCTTTCTGCCTCTTTGCACCATGAAAAGAAGAAGCCTAATTCTGCTTGGTCTGCACACGTCTGCACTACTAAGGGTTCCCTGCAAAGAGACGGTTTCTATTCTAAGTGAAACAACTTCACAGTATCATCTGGCGGTTTTTTTTATCGCGCTGGGCGGATGCTAGGCGTGGAGTTGGCAGTTTTCGCAGTCTGTTCCACCGTTGAACATGAAAATATCTGAATTCCAAAAAGTGCCCGATCCCTTTGCCTCCCTTGCGCCAGGGATAGCTCTCTTTCCCTGCTTCACAACACCATCAATGTCAAGCACGACGCCAATCCTGACCGTTCAACAAACCAGGCGGATCGTGGATCGCAGTCTGCTGTCCATCACCAGAGTCATGTGGGGATGGTTTTTTCTGCGCACCTCATGTCAACACCAAACTATCAGGCTCCAGGTAACATGTTTGGGTGCCTTGCATGAGTCCTTTTTCATGAATACTGGCACAAGACAATGTGGTGCACAAAAGATACATCCGCCACGCACCTCCACGGTCAACCACAAGAATTTGGATGTCCAATTTCCATTGGAAAAACACGAACAACAGGAGCATGGCACATCAACACGTGACGACAGCTGGCATATTTCCCAAGTCCCACCCACCCTGTCAACAACCGCCTGTTGCGTCTTTGCATGCACTTGCACATCAGCGGCTGCGCCAGCTGAGCTCGAAGGATGGGCCGAAACATGTTCCAAGTCAGTTGACCAACAGGGTTCCGCAAACCTTGGGAAAAGCAAATGGATCAGGCCAACACCCAGGAACTCTTGGAGAGGTACTTTGCAAGTACTTATTTCACAGGGACTCGAACTGAATGCCCTCGAGCAAAGGCCTGTCAAATAGCTCAGCACATAGCTTTGGTGTGAAAATCCTTTGCATCCAGTCACCACATGTCAATCGTCAAAAAAGAACTGTTCATCTCATCTCTTTTGAGCAAAACGTTTGCTGACGCAATCAAAACGACACGATGCAATCAAATGACGCGTCATGCTGGCTTGAGTGATGCATCTCTCCGTTTTGCGATTTTTGAGATGTCACATAAACCTATCCTTTACACAGTCCATGTTTTCTTCGTGTGGCACCACTAAAATGGTCACAAAAAAAATGAAATTAAGCATGATCTGGCGATGCATCGTGCCCGTTGGTGTATTCAGATGAAAGCTCAACTTTCGTGCCTGGGTGTGTTCGAGGTGAACAAATTTGTGGGGCAGGCCCTGTGGAACTCCACTGAACCACATGGCTGCTGTGTGAGTGTATCCGGGATGTTTTTCTCACAGTCATTGAACCACTTCCGCCAGAACAAGTCCGGTTTTTCCTAGAATCACACCCAGTTGGACAGTCAAAACGCACAAGGCAAAACGATCCACAAGTAAGTTGAGTTGCCGGCTGGCACAATGGCAGGCGAAAGTTGAGTCTCGAAAGGCGCCATGCTGGCGTACCACCTTGATGCATTCTTGAAACATGCAAGCCCCATGAACTAAGTGAAACAGGGTGAGACGCCGGTCACTTTACATCTCTGTACTCTTTGTATTCATCCAGGACCGTCACTCGGGTGGCAGCCTGGGCACTGTCTAGCTACTCAGCGTTGTTGGATGAAGTTGCTTGGCATGTTCATGGCATTCGCAGGACCTGCATGCAGGTGCAATTCTGGTGCAAGTCTGAGCGGTCAGTGCTCCCTACTGCAGGTCCTTGCGCAGCTCCTCGTGGAAATCATCAGTCCACCCCTCACCACGATTGCTTTGCTTTGATGGGAGGGGATTCACCTCGGGATCTTGAATTGACTGCATTTGTCAAAGGCACTTGATTCCGCGTATGGCCCTCTCCAAGTAGTTTTGGCTTCAGGTTTGTAAAATGTGCAAAGTTGTGTGCATCCTGCAAAAGCACGTCGAGCAACATACAGCAACGCTGGTGGGGCATGTACCTCACGCAGCGACGTGCAGTTCAGAAAGGCCTCTCGTCCAATGCGTCTCAGCTTGTTGGCAACCTAAGCCGCTCCAGTTGCGAGCGGACTGCTGCTCTCTGCAGTGGATCCACGCCAATGGAGGAGGGGCCAACCACTTTGGAAGTGCAACCAAATTTGGGCACTACCTTTTTGTAGACTGCATCAATTTGGCCACCTTCGCCCTCCAAGAGGGCGGCCGCAATCCAGAACTGCAGAATCAGAAGGAGGCTAGGGAACCGCCGCCAGGATGTCTTGGCTCCACCGGGATCAAAGCACTTGAATTAACTGGGGATTTCCAAGTGCTAGGAGCCCACGCCTGTGATAACTGCAAACTGCTTACTCAGGTAGACCTTTCAAACACATAGAGGAAATCCAGGAGTTTACCTTTGTGCATTGTGTCAGACTTCGAGAAGTCCGACTGCCGGGCGAAGGCCTTGTGAACTGTGCGGCACTGACAGAGCTTGCTATCCCACCCTCGCTGCACTACATTGCTAGCAGGGCTTTCCTTGACTGCACGCTGCTTCATAGGCTCACAAAGCTGCCAGGCCGAAGAACCACATG